TTGCTGGGAGTGAAACTCTTAACATACAAGCTTTCATATAATACTGTACACCAAAGCACAGTTTTTGAAGTTCATTTTTTATTTAATATATAATTCTCTTTGTATGGGGGCACGCAGTAGTGTAGTTGGTTGAGACACTATGCTACAAGCCGGAAGGTCACGGAATCGAATCCTGATGAGGTCATTGGATTTTTTTCAATTTACCCAATCCTTCCAGCCACACTATGGCCCTGGGGTCGAGTCAGCCTCTAACAGAAATGAGTATCAGGAATATTCTTTGAATGTTCTTGGGGGTAAAGGGCAGCCAACGCGTAAGGCTGACAACCTTACCGCCATCTATGAGCTGATTGTCTAGAAAATGTGGGAACCTCAACATCGCACAACCCTATGGGCCTTCACACCTGTAACAAGGATGCCTTTACTTACTTTTTACTTTTTTTACTTTACTCTCTTTGTATGACATAACTTTCATTATATTTTAAGTTAGTAGTTTAGGTTAGGGTCACGCCATAGCTCAAGTGGTTAGTCACTGGCTTCCCACCACAGCAGCCTGGGTTCGATCCCGGGTCTGGTCAAGTGGGATTTATGGTGGACAAAGTGGTGCTGGGGCAAGTTTTCTCTCAGTACTTCGATTTCCCCTGCCAATCTTCATTCCACCAATTGCTCCAGTCACCCTCACCTATCATCTGGGGCTGGTACAATAGGCCAGAAGTGGCCGCAGTACAAGGGACTTAGTCCCACCCCATTAGCAATAAAAAAATAGTAGTTTAGGTTAACTGAAGGTTAGACCAACAAGGATACATATTAAATGTTAAATTCTAGTACTATATTTGACCATCTTTATAAGGTACGTCAGAATCAGTTATGGCCACTTCATGATTTACACAGTATTTGCATTCTTGAAAATGGGCATATAAATAGAAAAAGTAATTGGAACATAATTTTCCCATAAGAAATAAATTGTAGGGGTTAAGGGAAACACTGCCTCAGTTCTCATTCAAACATCGTTTTTCCTTTGTTGTATTTTATTTTCAACTGTGTTTACAATATTTTGCTAATTTGTTACTGATAAATAATACAGACATTGAAAAGCCTATCTCAACAAGACAGTTTTTAAATTAACATTTTGCATGTCCTAAGCTGAATGCTGCCTGAAGTGCCTTGCTGGTAGTGTCAGTACTAAGGAAGTGGGGGGGGGGGGTTACCGGGGAAAGGGGTCATCTGAGTCAGATGACCCAGTAGGCAATGGTGGAGAAGCAAGAAGTGAAATACTTCCTCATGTATGGGCAGCTGTTTAGCTTTAGAAATGCCTGAGGTTGAAGGTTCAGGTTCAAGTAGTTTAATGCTTTCCTTTTCAAACCATGTAATCTCCCTCCCCCCCAGCAAAGTCCACATAAATTAAAAAAAAATGTTAATATGACAGCCGCCTAATTCCAGAAGTGCATAAATAAAATCCATATAAATCGAGAAGCTGCTTTAATTTACATAGGAACTCTGAATTATCCCAAAATATATAGGAGATCATTCTAATCACAAAAAAATCAATGTGAACACAATTTTTTACATTTTAGGGTCTTCAGCCTTGTGCACTAACCAGTCAATAGGACACTGAAAAAATTCAGCTGTTAACCATATCCCATAATGGTAGGATTACCCTTGTGGGTTAAAGTACCTTATTTTTTGAAGAACATGACATCTGATCTACAGATTCACTGCAGTTTTGATATACATATAAAAAATGACTGGAATAGTGAAAACATTTCATACAGTACCTCACAGCTGTTAAAACTCCTTTATAGTGTCACTCTGTACCTACACAATACAGATGTTCAATTATGTCTCCTAATGATTAGTCTTGTACCTCAACAGGATTTCTCCTTTTCAGTATGCAGTTAAACTACAGGGGATGGACAAAAATATGGAAACATCTCATGAAATGCATGCCTGAATTGAAGTGTTTATTTTAGTGATGTTTGTAGGTCACGCTGTCCTATCTGCCCAACACCGCTACCTGTACAACCTCCGCAATACATTGCAAGCTTCATTTGTTGTCGAGACAGTGTTCTGTGCAATTTTTTGTGCATCACGTCAGAGCTAACAGAATTTGAACGCGGGCAAATTGTTGGGGCCCATATGGTGGGTGCTTCTGTAACCAAGGTAGCCGAGGTTTTTGGTGTTTCGCGAAGCACAGTATCCAAGATTATGACCACATACAGGAGGACTGAAAAAACTGCATCCGATAAACACCAGCGTGGACGGAAATCTGTGTTGAGTGATCGAGACAGACGAACATTGCGTAGGATTGTGACGAAAAATAAGAAGACTACAGCTGCAAAAGTGACTGCTGAACTGAATGTCATGCTCACAAACTCTGTCAGCACCAAAACAATGTGAAGGTAACTCCACAAGCAGGGTATTTCTGGACAAGCTGCAATTCCAAAGCCACTCATTAGTGATCAAAATGCCACTAAGAGGACAGTGTGGTGCCGAAGTCATGAAACCTGGACTATGGAGCAATGAAAGACGGTCATTTGGTCAGATGAGTCCACCTTCACATTGTTTCTGACATCTGGCCGAGTTTACATCTGAAGAACGCCATCCCAAGCTTACGTTCCAGATTGTTTGCTGCCAAGAGTGAAACATAGCAGGGGTTCAATCATGGTATGGGCAGCCATATCGTGGTATTCTGTCAGACCCGTCATTACCCTGAAAGGTCACGTCACTGCCAAGGACTATGTGACCATTTTGGGTGACCAGGTCCATCCCATGGTGCAAACTTTGTTCCCTAATTGTGATGCCATTTACCAAGACAATGCCTGTGTTCACATAGCTCACATCGTCCAGGACTGGTTTTCTGAGAACGAAGATGAAGTGTCACATCTGCCATGACCCCCACAATTGCCAGATATCAATATTATTGAGCCTTTGTGGTCTGTTTTGGATAGCAATCTGCGTGCGCGCTATCCACCTCCATCATCAATAACAGAATTTACAATGTTTTTCAGGAAGAATGGTACAAGATTCCCTTGCAAATCATACAGGACCTCTATTTATCCATTCCAAGGAGACTGCAAGCAGTTCTGCAAGCCAGAGGTTGTCCTACACCATATTAGTCACGGTGATGTGTTTCCATATTTTTGTCCATCCCCTGTATATACAGGGTGATTCACGAAGTTTTACCCCGGCTTATGGTACATATTCCTGGGGTTATTTCCTGCAAAATTTCCTTATAAACTTGTCGATTTTCAATAGTTACGGAGTAACAATAGATTTTCGAAACACATCATTGTGAATGCAGCGCTATGCTTCAGCATGCATCCATTCCAGTCATCTATGTCAGCAGATAAAGTAGACCGGTTTGAATGTTGCGCGTAGGTAGATAGGCAGAGCGGTTCATATGCGTGCGACGCATTGTGTTGACGTGCAGGGAGACATTTTTGAAAATCTTATGTAAATCCATTTGTCTTCTAAAGCACTACAGTTTAAAGGAAACAGATTGATAGAATGGTGTGATATGCAACCATTGGTATGTTTACAGAATGGGATGCTGAAAATAATGTAATTTTGTAACACAGAATCGACGAAAAATGTTGCACAATGCAAAATTAAGAAATTGAAAAAAAAATTGGTTTTAGAATGCTTCTTTCCTAAAACATTAACAATTTAAAAAGTGTTTGTATTGTAGTTCTAATTTGTTTTGACTGAAATTCGAAGAAAAAAAGATTTTTCGCCAGTTTTCAAATTACTGTATTTCTTTAATTATGAGTTGGATACCATTAGTATATTAACATTTTTTGTTCCAAATTACCTCAGGAATGCCCTCCCTAAGTGGGGGTAAAACTTCATGAATCACCCTGTATATTACATATGTATAACCCCATCTCTTTAATTAATCATGATGCTTAAATAAATATGGCCCAACAGATAATGGAGAGATTTTTATGATAATAGATAACCTTCATTCATCTGAAAGTTCAGATTTATGAAATGAAGATGAAAAGTTTCTTTTAGGGAAACTATGAAACTTCTAATACAGGGACTGTTAATACTGTAACATGGTAAATGAATGATAGTGTCTTTCACTCATGTGTCACGGATCACACTTAGGAAATTTAGGGAAACTTGTCCAGTTTTAGAATACTCTGACTTAAGTTTAAGGTGAACTGATGAGCAGTGGAGGCCCATGGACTTCAACGACTGCTGCAAACATTTTAATGTAAGTAATCACAAAATATAGTGCCTACTTGCAACAAGTGACAAGTGATTTTACTACCTTACTCTGCTATATATATATGCCACCCAATTACAAGAGAGAAACTGCCACAGTTAAATTGTAAGATGAATGTCTGAATATTTTGTTTCATTACTTTTAAACTTTGGTTTTGTAAGCCTACATAAGCCTCATTTTTCATAATGGGATTATTAATTATATAGTGTGTATGTGTATATGTGTGTGCATGCACATGTCTTTAAATTTTAGATGAATTTTCTTCAATGTGTGCACCTATTTTTAATTTCATAAAAATGTCAATAGGGCTCATGCCTCTATGTGATTAGTTATGATTAGACATAATTTTTCAGTCTGATATCTTAACATTTTCACATTAGTTCAGCAATTAATTTTCAAGTGGATTATGCCAATGCTAAGGTTGTTAGATGCTGGCTTCTCACTTTGGGGCCTTTGGTTCAATCCCAGATGACTTCATGTGAGTTTCACGGTGGACAAAGTGGTCCGAGATGCGCGTTTCCTCTGTTTTCCCCTTCCAAGCTTGGGATTCTCACATTTTCAGTTCATCTCAAACTGTGATCTAATTCATTAATTGCTGATTTCTCTAAGCTCTATAAAGCAATATTATTTGGAATGTTAATTAACAATAGTAACAAGACTTCTTGCTACAGGCTAAAAAAAGCACATAAAAATCTGGTCCTATATAAAGTTTGTAATGCAGCTTATGGAAGCATAATGTTACCACTTATTAAGCATTAAGATCAAGTGCATATCAGCATCTTACAGAAGTTCCACTGCTTTATTAACATGTACATTAATTAACAGCTCCTAAACAATGATCATATTAAAATGTGTTAGTGCAGTGAGGCTTGTTCCAGTGTAACTAACTCCATACAGCAGTCCTTGAGAAGCAAATAATCACTCAGCTGGTCAAGAAACTCCCCAGCTTTATGAAACCTGAATGTTGGTTACTGTTTTCACAAGAACATGTTCCATCCTAATTTTAGTGGGCAAAATTAGTTCAGAGTTAAATCAGATTTAGTAACATACTGCAATTCAATCATGACTGAGATAATGGTGAAATTGTGATTTGTTGCTTTTCAGAGCAAAAAAAGGGCCACTGGATGTAATAGGAAAACACAGCCTTAGAGATAAGTTAGGAAAGAACGTTATAACTGCAATTATTTTTACACTGCCTTTTGTGGGAGTCCCACAGTATTACATTATGAAAATAAACTTCCCCTCTTCCTTCTACACCTGACAGCATAAACTGTCTTAAATGATCCAATATTTTCCATAACATTTAAAGAAAACAGATTCAGTATATAATACATTACAAAGAATTCTTGAAATAGTATGAATATACAAAATTATTGGTTACCTCATATGATAAAGCTACTTCAATACAACAGATACAAACCTCTTAATACTTTTACAAAAGAAAAAGGCTATGAAGTAAATGACTGAAATGTCCAGTGCAATACCATACTTCAGATACAAATTCTTTATGAAAAAGCTGCAAATTATCAGTCTTGTATATGTGCATTACTAATGAAACTATTCTTTTCATAGTATTCATACATACATGCTTAAGAACTGAATAACACACCCTGCCAACTTGCCTAAGTGAGTGGAGGTTCTCTCTCAAGACTAAGCCCTGTACCTAATGGATCTTTGGAAGGTGCTCCCTGCACACATTCGCTGAGACCTTCTGTTCTGCTGAACACCTTCATGTCCACTTCACCTTTAGGTGGTACTACCACATCTTTTCGCTTTGCAGCAACCACCTTCTGCTTCTCTTGATTGTGACGTAAGGCAAGCTGAGTGGGCGGAGAAACAGCCCTCTGGAGTGCAACTGACTGTTTATCTATTCGAGTTTCTCCAGCTTCATATGCTGGCTCTACTTCTAGTGGCTGGGATATATGGTGGCGACTTCTCAGAAGTGAACACAGCTGGGGGGAAAGAAAAAAAAATTATAATTGAAATCGACTGGCAGAGGCATGAATATAAAACTGGTATTTATGCTCACAAGAAATTACTAAAGGAATAGCAGGAGTGTATTCTAAATATGGGCCAGTCACAGTAGCCAAGCGGTCTAAGGCATGAACTGTCTTCGCTCACTCGCAAGCCAGGATCGTGGATTCAAATACCACTCTGGGCATGGATGTTTAGTGTGCGTGTGCTCGTATGTACAGGTAGAGGCCTTGCAACGAGCTGATCACCCGCCCAAGGAGTCCTACCAAATGTTTAAGATCTAGTAAACAGAAGTGAAACAGAGAGTTTTATGGAGGTAGGCCAAGGCCCAAATTGGTCTGTAGCACCAAAGGAAAAAAAGAATTCTAAATATGGGAAAATCATGTTGACATTGTAACTTTCTTCAGTTTGCTCTCTTGTTGCCATGGATGTTAGTAGAGTGGGAGGGAGGAGTTACTGTGTTCACTTTCCTGATGATTTTAAAATTATTTGTATTTTAACAAACAACATTAAAACATATTTCTTTTAGCTTATTTTGGACTTCACCCATCGTCTGGTATGAAAAAGACAAAAAACCATGACGTTTTGGAGACTGGATCTGTCTCCATTTTCAGGTGGATAGGGAAGGATAAACCTACTCAGTTGGGCCCCTTAGAAAGAGCTAGTCTCAATCACTGGACCGACTAGCTCTTTCTAAGGGGCCCAACTGAGTAGGTTTATCCTTCCCTATCCACCTGAAGACGGAGACAGATCCAGTCTCCGAAACGTCGTGGTTTTTTGTCTTTTTGTCTTTTACATACCAGACGATGGGTGAAGTCCAAAATAAGCCAAAAGAAGTACAATATACACCATCGTCAGAATCCTTTCAAGTCTATCTAACATTAAACCATTCAGTTATATAGACAGTAGTAGACATGAGAAGGCAGGTAAATACAACTTACCTCTCGTAATCCATCCAGTACCTGCAGGGTTTCCACACTGGGAGTAGATGGAAAGCTGCGCTGCAATACAGCGTGGTACTGTGACAGCTTCATTCGGCAAAGTGTCATGACAGCATGCGCATGTTGCAGTTCTGCTCTGAGCAAAGCAGGATCCTGTCAACAATATATACTTGAGACCTAAGTTTCATATATCTGTGATTAGGCAGTTATGCAAATGGTCTCTTTCATTTATATTTCTTTAACTGTGGTTTATGCATCAATAAGTTCCATCTTTCTTGCCTACACAAGGACAAAAGAATGTTGATTTTTATATCCTGAAGAGTTTTTAAAATAATTACATCGCTAAAATATAATGTGAATTGTAATCTTACGGTCGTCGTAGTTTGCTTTCCATGCAATACGGACAATTCTTCTTAATGACGAGGCAGCATTACACAATTCATTAATTGCTACACCGTGGGCCTCTCTTAAAATCTTCTATACAAAGTAATATCAAATTTCCCTATTGTCTACGGAAACGCACACAAAGTATATCCAACGACTGATTCAATGTTTTTGAAAACATCATTAATATTTTATCTTGTTATAATATTTCCAATTTTTAATTTTTATATAATCTGAACTTTTGTATTTTTTACATAAGCATTTTTAAATTTGTACAATCAATAGTGTTATATCCATTTTATGATTGCAGTTAAATGGTANAGACGATGGGTGAAGTCCAAAATAAGCCAAAAGAAGTACAATATACACCATCGTCAGAATCCTTTCAAGTCTATCTAACATTAAACCATTCAGTTATATAGACAGTAGTAGACATGAGAAGGCAGGTAAATACAACTTACCTCTCGTAATCCATCCAGTACCTGCAGGGTTTCCACACTGGGAGTAGATGGAAAGCTGCGCTGCAATACAGCGTGGTACTGTGACAGCTTCATTCGGCAAAGTGTCATGACAGCATGCGCATGTTGCAGTTCTGCTCTGAGCAAAGCAGGATCCTGTCAACAATATATACTTGAGACCTAAGTTTCATATATCTGTGATTAGGCAGTTATGCAAATGGTCTCTTTCATTTATATTTCTTTAACTGTGGTTTATGCATCAATAAGTTCCATCTTTCTTGCCTACACAAGGACAAAAGAATGTTGATTTTTATATCCTGAAGAGTTTTTAAAATAATTACATCGCTAAAATATAATGTGAATTGTAATCTTACGGTCGTCGTAGTTTGCTTTCCATGCAATACGGACAATTCTTCTTAATGACGAGGCAGCATTACACAATTCATTAATTGCTACACCGTGGGCCTCTCTTAAAATCTTCTATACAAAGTAATATCAAATTTCCCTATTGTCTACGGAAACGCACACAAAGTATATCCAACGACTGATTCAATGTTTTTGAAAACATCATTAATATTTTATCTTGTTATAATATTTCCAATTTTTAATTTTTATATAATCTGAACTTTTGTATTTTTTACATAAGCATTTTTAAATTTGTACAATCAATAGTGTTATATCCATTTTATGATTGCAGTTAAATGGTACATTTCTGTTGATATGTATTTGCCTGATGATGGCTGATAGTGGCTGAAACATGTAGCAAAGCCACAGCTGAATGCTGACTTTGATGTTTTACTATTTGCTGTGTTGTGACGGTTCATTAAAGAGTTGCTTACGGTCATCGCTGTGCAATGGCCACACTGCTCCCTTCATAAGGCTGTTGAAGATGAACAGCCTAACGTTACATCCCCGTTCCTTTTATTTGCAGGCTGTTCTTGCAACATCTTCTTCTTTCATGTCCAGCTACTCCTCTTGCAGCGACTATCCTCCGTCCATTACATCCGCTCCCCTCTTAAGAGCAGCTCGTCTCAAGCGGTTTCCTGTTAACTTGCCAGAAGATCCAGTTGTATCACATTCACTCCTTCACTTTCTCCCATCACACATTCACTCTTGCTTGGGAGGCCAGTGCTTCTAATTGACCGGCTCCTCCTCTGTGCTCTGCTTCTTTTTCGTTTTGGAGGGAGTCGACCCCTCCATAGTGTCCAGTTTTTGGTGTTCGTATCTACTGGGATTCCATGCAGCACGTCTGCTTGTGCACTTGCACATGCCTCGAATTTTCCTTTCAGGATGAGTCCTTGTGTCGTCCTCTCACGTTAAATTCTTCTCGTACTTTCTTTGACACATCTTTATGCAGGCCTGTGCATGACTCCAACTGATCTCCCTGGAGTCTGAGTCTCTTGCGCTGTGTCACATTTGCACAGCTAGTCATCTTCTTGTCGGCCGCGACCAATCACTTCCTCCCAGGTCCACCAATTCACTGAGTAAGGTTCTTCTTCACGATGTCTCTCTTGTGTCATGCCACTGTTGCGCGACGGGGCATCCTTGTGTTGCTTCTCTTCTGTGGTCCACAATTTCTTTGGGTCCAAGATTTCCTGAAGATATTCCTCTTGAGCCATGCCACTGTTGCACGGCGGGACACCTTCCTGCAGGAGGCAGCCAACTTCATCTGGGATCCACAAATTCCTCGGGTTAGTTCCTTTGCTCTCCATGTCGCCCTGCAGCTTGCTTTTTGCCCCTATACCGCTTCTTCTGTCCTTTGACTGGTTTCACTACAGCATCTTCATTGGGGACTTCTCGTTGTTGGGCCACCTCAGGTTTCCTGTCCACTGAGGTCGGCTCTTTTTCTTCTAGATGGGCCTCCATCTCTTGGCAAGCCATCGTCTCTTTTCTGGTATCCGTTGTTTCTTCTTCAGGTTCTATGATCGGTATCACAATGGGGACCTCTTCTTGTTGTGCCGCCGCAGGTTTCGTATCCACTGATGCCGGCTTTTCTTCTTCTAGATGTGCCTCCATCGTTTCTCGGCAGGCTATCATCTCTTCCTCTATCTCGGGTTTAAATGCGGACACCATCTCCTTGTGGCAGGCGTCCATCATTTTCATTATCATTTCCTTCCGTTCTCTTCGCTCGGCCTGTCTGTCAGCCTCCAATCTGGCCAGCAATTCCTTGTGGCCGATCTCCACCTTTTCTTGATAGGCGTCTAATTTTGCCTCTGCCTTCGCCTGGTTGGCATCTAATTTTGCTAGCATGATGTCTGCTTTTACTTGGTTAGCCCTCATCTCTTTCAGCAGGAGTTCCATCATCTGCTATGAGTCCATTTTGTGGCAGTAAAATACTTGATGCACGATAATTAGTTTGTGGCGTGTTTAAGTTCATAAACCACTTCTGACACCAGTGTAATGTGTTTTGCTACTGAAGACGCTGTTCGGATTGTTAACTGGTTTATTTAACAACCTACAAATCGTAACTACAAGTCCTTATAACACTGTTACGGGTTTACACACTTAACAACCCTACACAATAATCTCTTCAGTAGTCTTCACGTATTTATAACGCGGAGCTATACAAGTCTCTCTTAATTACACACTCGCAATATAACTGTACTACAGCGCACTCTTGAAGTCACACAATAAGTCTTCACTTGCTGACTTCTCAGTTATCGCACACTATCACATAAAATCTTCTAACCATGCCTTCGGGTCTTCTTTCCGCGACTGCTGCTATATTTCAACTGTCTTCGGTGGCTGCTACATTTTAACTTAACTCTCTCTTGTCGAAGCTGGGCTTTTATAACCTTGGCGGTTGCTATGCAATGAACCTTCCGTTGTCATGCTACGCTTCGAACAATTCATTACATTTCATCTCCTAGGAAATGCGTTTGTTTGCCCCAGGCAACGACCCACTGTTATTGCACTGTCGCTGTGGGGATTCTCCGTGTATTCGTCGTAACTGTGGAGACTCATTATAGGCTGTTAACTTCCTATTGTGGCCGTTGCGCAGCGATGACCGTAAGATAGCATGTTACATTATTAATGTCTGACATGGTAACATCCAAGTATCTTGCTCACTTGGGTTACCAGTTTAAAATATATTAGTTTGCATGAGAGAACTACAATGGTTCTGGCTCTAATACTAGAATTACAGCTCTTGTAAACAGGTTAGGACAGATCTCAGATAGAAAGAAAAAAAACATGGAAAGAAATAGAAAGTAGGAGTAACTTTGGAAGGCATAGCATCTTCTCATCTTACAGTTACGAGATGATCACATACATCAAGTGTATATCCATCAACAACAGTGCCATCAATATCGTTCCTCCCACCAGTTGTTCCACCTGTCTGGGTATGTTTACCACCTAGCCAACCATCTGACTTTTTTGAAAGCTTCTTCAACCTAGAAATCATAAGAAAATTCAAAACAGTTTACAAAGTTCAGCTTTGCATCAATTGCAGGATGCAACGACTAAAATGTGGTTATAGTCAAAATGAAAAACCCAAACCATTTTTATTTATAAATGGACTGATTTTAGTAACTCCTGGGTAATAACTGAAGTTATACAGTATTAAATGATGTTGGAATAAATATGTTGGGGCACGCAGTAGCATAGTTGGTTGAGGGGCTATGCTACAAACCGGAAGGTCACGGGTTCAAGTCCCGATGAGGTCATTGGACTTTTTTCAATTAACCTAATCCTTCCAGCCGCACTATGGCCCTGGGGTCGACTCAGCCTCCAACAGAAATGAGTACCACGAATTAATTAAATAATTTTTCTGGGGAGTAAAGCACGGCTGACGTGTAAGACTGACAACCTTACTACCATCTTTGAGCCGATTGTCTAGATAATGTGGGACCCACAATGTCTCACAACCCTATGGGCCTTCACAGCCTCTTGCAAGGATAGCTTTACTTTCTTGGGGGGGGGTAAATATGTTGAGGGTGTGGAGTGGATTCATGTGCCTCACAACTGGGTCTGATGACAGACTCCTGTGAACACAGTAATGAACCTTCATGCTCCATAAAAAAGGTGGGGAATTAGAAATTCCCACCTAGACCAGCTGAGTGACTATTAGTTTCTCAAAAAAGGACCCTACTCCATGGAATTACTTAATTACTTTTGATGTATGTGAACTGCAGGTTGCAAGGGATGACCATTTTACAGCATTTTCCTGGAATCTGCCTGAAGAAGGCAGTGCCTTGTGAAGCCTCTCACATGACTGTTCATTCTGACTGTGATTCAAAGAAGTCACCTGTGGTCATGCCATTTTGTGGGTATAAGAAACCATAAAAATTCCCATAATTGTTATTTGTACTTGGAAAACAGTGTCAAAATAGGTACTGTTATAACAAAAATATGAAATTACAGATGCTGTTACAACTTCAGCTTCACACTAATGTGGATCCAAACAAGAGTATGACTGCATTCTCACACAACTACCTGCCAGAGATGGAAGCTGCTTGTGAGGTTTGTGGCACCTTCTTAGAAAGCTCCTTGTCTGCTGTGGCAGTATGTTGTCCAGGAGCACGGTTCAGATCTGCCCTGCCACCAACTGTCACCACAGGCAGATTTGGGAAGGATGTCATTGCAGGTAAGCAATGTTTCTGTAAACAATGGTTCTTGGCTTAGCATGAAATCAATCCATTCTACTGTAAAGAAGCATGGAGAGAAAGACAATGCTGCAGTAACATCTAGCTCACCAAGAAACCACTGTATTCAGTGTCATAGCGGCTACTAACACAAGCAATCTTCTTTGAGAAGATAAAAAGACACTGAAAATAAATTAAAATCCATTTAAGTTCAGTATATTTTCAGTCATGCCATTAAATCTGTTTTACTGGTTGAAATTTTCAAATTATACATTTCATCAGTACTGAGTTAAAGTATAAATTGAACACAACTTATTCTCAATTCTAGACATAAATTTTTCAACATCATGTTTAACAATGAAATAATTTTTTCTATGTAGCAGGTTTACCTGCCCAACATAACACTATCAATAGAGTTATCATTCTCAAGTTCAAGAACGTCTTTTGTACACTGCAACCTTAGTTCTTTAAAAGTATACACATACTGAGGATTCTAAAATAAACATAAATTTTTTCTTCAGAGCATTTGATTGAGAAGCAATTTATGACTGGAAAGACTGAAATACCAGTACAGGTGGAAAGTATATCTAAGTGTGTACATTTAAATTTCTTATGAAACATCTGTATCTACCTGTGGATCCCTGAGAAAGAGAGCATGTTCAATAATGTAAGAAATATCCACAGCTCCAGGATATCGCATGAGGTAGGTCATACAAGTTGTATAGTCCCCACTCAGCACTGAAAAATATACACCAAATATAAAGTGTGACAAACAAAAGGACATTATTTTACTTAAAAACTCAAGATACGTTTTCTCATGCTATCTAAAAGAAACATGGAAATGTGCTGCAAGAATCAGTTTTACTTGTATATTAACTTCTGAATTGAAATGTTTTCTTGTGCTTTCTGTTATCAGTCCCACTGTTCTCATGAGCATCATAATCATCTTCGTCACCATCTTACATTTCCACTGTTATAGGCTGCAGTTCACTTTCATTCTTTTCTAATTTCTCAGATTTTATCCACTTACCTGTCATAATGATCATCAGTAACTTACTGAAAATTAGGGGCACTGAAGTTTCTACCATTAAATGGAGGTGTGACCCATATGCAAGTTAACTATTATAATCTCTTGAATGATTTATGCCCACAGTTTGTATCAAAACTTCCCACACTTTGCACATTTGTTTCCTTAAGACTGCACTGAACTAACAAAACTGTTTGTTTATTATAATAATTATGTTCATCTGTTAACCAAAAAAAAATCTATCAGAAATGTCCATCCTTAACCTGATTTTTCCTTAATATCAATATAATAACACTGCTTCAGTCTTCAAAACAGATCTTTGTATTTTGGCCTCTTAATTAACATGAAAGTTACATGCTGCAAGAAACAAACACAGAATTATTTTTACTTGTTACACCTCAGGGGGAGGGGGTTAGAACTTATAATTACTTTCGTCGGTTATTACTCTTTGGCTAACATCTACGTTGCACTCGGCTGCCGTCGGCTGTCTTAGCTAGGGAAGCCCGGGATCGGTGGAGGACAGGATGGTTACTAACGGGTGAATCAGAACTCCCCGCGTACATTTTCCTATATGTACACTGTCTATTTACAATATTAAATACATTAAGAAAAAGGCCTGCTCTTATCTGTTAACATGACACTTCTTGCTAAACTCATTCTACCGTCTTAGTTTGTGAAGGGGAGGTGCTCTGAAACTGCGCTCCTATCATCGTCTGCTACTGTACATTCATTCCTACCCTGTTCTACCCTGACTCTCACTTGGTTCACTGGATACTGCCTCATTATCTCACAATAACACTTGTATTAACAATAACCTTTAACAGCATGGCGTATATGAGCAAAGAGACTTACTTGCAATACATATGTAGATCACTGCCGTCATCCACCCTCTTATGGTATACATGTCGCCGAGAGCCTCCGGCTGACAACCGAATATTCTGTTTTAGAACCTGATTCAAATCCCCCGAAGTTCCCTAATTTATCGTTTTCTTTCGCTGATTCGGCTTTGACGACAGGGGGTAGGTGACTCCCCCTCAGTGCCCTCAATCCTCATAATAACCTCCTCATTGGCTCTCATGGGTGGTTGTGGGCAGACCCCTTGCGTCTTATTGCTGCGTAAGCAGTCTCTCACGAGTAAATCCAGTGTACGAGTGAGGTAAGCTATTGCTCTGCGATTACAGAGACCTGCTGTGCAGTCACATTCTTAACCTAATTACCAGTCCTGGTGTTTACGATTTACGGCAATAGCTGCGAAACTCTTTTCGCAAGTCTCTAGCTTTTCGATAATAGAATACCCTCTTCAATCTCAAATTTGGGCTATAACATTACTCATTAAATTCAGATCCTACCAATAAAAGAATGTTGCATTAAATATCTTTTCAATTATTTACAGTGAATTGTTCTTATTACCATTAAAGCCATATTCTAAAGACAACACGATGTCATGTCACATATCATTTGTATTATTCACTGCCATGCCAGTAAATAGTAATTGCTTTATGCACTGAACAGTTTCACAGAAAAAAAAACAGTGGTTTTATGCACTATAGAATTAATTATGGTCACCAAGAATGAGATGAGAAACAGAGAAAACAGGAGAAACAAAAGAATTCTGTATATAAGATTTCAAGTTCCTTTCTCAAGAGACACTAGCAATAAAAAGTTTTCATATTGTTATATAATGGCAGAACTCACATTGACACCTGATGGCTATAAGCATTGCCACTACTATATAGTTGACCAGCTCAAAGTTTTCACCTTCTGCAAAGATGGCATCCCATAGTACCAGCAAGTCTTGCAAGGGAAATTCCCTCCCAAACAAAAGACGGAGCCAACGTCTGTAAGAAAGCAAGTTATTTCAGCATCATATACTGAAACACTAAATGTAGTAGTATAAAATAAAATATTCATTGACATTTATATCACTGTGTTACTAGGTTCATGAGTGTGTATTTTATACATTTATACTTTATATGTAGTTGAATGCACTCACATTCCAAACAGAGGAAGAGGGATGTCTAACTGCTGCAGATGTTCATATAGCTGTTTGTCAGCACGGACCAAAATCTGATTTCTAATCCAGTTTAGCTGTGTGACCACTTTATTCTCCAACTGATTTCCAGAACCCTAGAACACATGCATATTGCTACTAATCCAGTTTAACTGTGTGACCACTTTATTCTCCAACTGATTTCCAGAACCCTAGATGCATATTGCTACTTTACAAGCTACTCGACCCAGTTCTTTCCCGGTATTTAAATTTGGTAATACTACATTTTATTATGTTAAGAGAAACACAGAGATAATTAGCCCCATGGAGCAAGTTCTTCTTGAGACAGTAGCAGTTTTCAACAAACCAAGGAATTTCATGCCCTTTATGAGGTCAAGGTTAAATACCATGTTCACCCCAAGCTGGCTGATGTAACACTAATGCTGTAAACTTTATTTGTGAGGTACCAGGTTCAAATCTTGGGTTGGGATGCCATCTACCCTGACTGAGGTTTCTCTGTGGTTTTCCTCAGCCCCTGCAGGCAAACACCAGGATAGTACCTCAGGCTACAACCACTTCCTCCCAAATCATTTTCAGTTCCTTATTTACCACCATCCCACAATCAGTGCTATGCAATCATGAGACCCTAACAATATAAAATAAGACAAAAAAAAAATCCATACCCCCAGTTTAAAACTTGTGTCTCTCTCCAGGCAATTTGGGGAGGGAACTTCAAATGCAACAATGTGACACTGGCAATAACAGTTACTGTTGTATGCAGTAACACAACTGACAATAAAGTCCCTCTGATGAATGTAGCTGAGGCCCCAATCGCATAGGATTTGAAGTATTTATCACTTGCCCTGAAAAGAAACTCCATTGTATCTATGAGATGTATGTACACACAAGATGTCAGAACATGGGTTCCAATTAATTTCTGAAACTAGTAATAAATATTGTAAAACTTACATTTCCTTGTGGAGACTGCAGGTTCACTGGAAAGTAGCCAGTAGGAGTCGGTGTGACATCATTGATCCGATAACAGGACTCAATCCCACTCATGATTCTGGAAAATATCGTGCTGCAGAACAAGAGAAAAAATTTGAGTACTTTCAGATTTTCATCCACTGAATGATTTACTTAAATTGTTTCACCACAGATCATAACTCTCACTTAAAATGATTTATTTGGAGAAAGAAACAGCTCTAAGACTTTAAGTTTAATACAAAATTATTTTTCCAGTTGTTCACACTGAAATTTTCTATTAAAGAAATTCATCCACAGAATGACTTAACTTTATGAAAGGATTCCATAGTGCACAATTTGTGAACACTGCTTTAAACCACGTTGCACATAGAGACTTGCTAGTGTGTATGCTTTTAGATTATTAGATTATTAGCTTTTGCTGTTCACAGAGTCCCAACAAAAGTTCCAGATCACCAATAATCCATTTGTATTATATTCATTACCTCTCCAAGGTCTCGCTTTGCATACAGACTGTATCATTAATACTCAAGGTATAAAAACATTAACAGCATAGAATTTTCCTTAAATTCTAATGATCTGAGAATTCTGTAACTTACTATGCATCTTCTTCAAGAAATGCTGGGTCAAGAACTTCCATAATCACATCACTGAAATATTAAGCAAAATTATAAAATGGAAATCCAGCACATCATTCAACAAATTCTAAAAACACTTACTGACACATCTGCTCATTTGTAGCACAGTAGATAAACATTAATGTTTGTTAACACATTCATAATTCATAAACCGTAACTGAGTAAAGCTATCCCTGTACCAGGCCGTGAAGGCCCATGGGATTGTGAAATGTTGAGAGTCCCACATTATTTAGACAAGCGGCTCAAAGATGGCGGTAAGGTTGTCAGCTTTACGTACCGGCTGTGTTTTACTCCCCAGGAAAATTATTTAATTAACTCCTGGTACTCATTTCTGTTAGATGCTGAGTCGACCCCAGGGCCACAGTGTGGCTAGAAGGATTAGGTCAACTGAAAAAAATCCAGTGACCTCATTGGGACTTGAACCCGCGACCTTCCGGCTTGTAGCATTGCCCCTTAACCAACTATGCTACCGCGTGCCCCAATTCATAAACTATATTAAATATAAATACATAAGCACTGTTCTTCATCCACTAACATTAAATTTATTTTCAGAATTGATACTGCAAACAGCTGATTCTCATGAAGATAAGAAAATGGAAACTTAAGAAGCTTCCTTATTTTACATTTCAATAAGGACTTTCAGTAAGACAACTGTAAGATTAGGCTAGAGTGTGTACTTATATTTTCACTTGTACGTCATTCCAACTAAATCACCTGACTGCTGTTTGCTCTCGAGTGTGTAGCAACGCTTGGTGATCACAATGCAGCACAAACAACAATGGGGCGAGGATTTCATGCATTCCCTGTAAACAGAATCAGTAGATGTCACAACAGTGCACATGGTAACTGAGTTGCATGTTAGTCAGGTGAGAAGACTGTTTCTCAGTTTCAAGTGACACTATCCAGAAAACATGCACCCAGCGGATTTCTGGATTTTGGGATTCTAGGTCCCTTGGACAGTATCCAGAAAACTTGCACCCAGAGGATTTCTGGATTTGGGGATTTTCTGGGTCCCTTGGCATAAAAATTATAACACATGTAAATTCAACAAAAAAACGTTTATTAACATTTGCTTTACCTAAAAAGTGCTTGAAGCATAAGAATGAGAGCCAGAATTATCACTTATGTCAGCAGAACACTCTTTAATCTTTTAAACATGTCTTGTCAATTAACTGTTCCATGCAATTATGCTTTCTTTTCGCAAAACCTCTTGTATTTTCTACACCCACATAATGTGGGTGCTTGTTCTCAAGGGGGGGGGGCAAAACTTTCCAGAATAACTTTACTTCATATCAATGATCTTACACCTATCAACATTTAATTTTTAAACAGATACAACTATACATTCCTCAACTTATTTAAACACTTCTGTTCTGAGGCTTGAGGAGCAGGTATCAAATCAGTGGATGGCTGCACAATGACTAAAAGTTGTTTCGACATACTGAGCCATCGCATTTCATGCAAGGGATATGTTCCTGAAGACCTCACATAATTCGAAATAAGTTTTCTCATAAGGGGATTTGGGATTCACAATATTTCAAACTTTGCACATAAAGAGATACTGGGTTTTCAGACTTTGTCCACTGTCCGGATTCTAAATAACTAAGAAAAAACGTTTCAGAAACTGGATCTGTTTCCTTCCTCACCTGAGGAAACGTTTTTTCTTAGTGATTTAGAATCTGGATGATGGACGTCTGAAAACCCAGTGTCTCTGTGTGTTATACACCATCGTCAGAACCCTATACTATCTATTTGCTAGTTTTAATATTTTATACTGCACTAGTTAAAATTTGCATAAAATGCAACTGCAATGTATTTGAATATCAAGCTGTATAAGGAATTGACCTTGGGAAGCATGCTTTAGGGTCATTCCAAAAGTAATGCAAAGTAAAATGTTGTGCCAATTATTAAGCTACTGACGTTTTATCCCATCAATGATTTCCTTGATTTTCTTGAAAGCTGCTATTTCAAATCAGCATACACATTTTTGTGCTGATGACTGCATAAAGTAAATATATTCAAAAGCACTATTTGATACTTATCCTTCAACTGATGCAAGAGATTAAGTCTAGTGATTATTAATATGCTCCCATTTGCAGCTACATAAGTGTCACTTGTCTTCTGAGATACAAATAATTGCTGATAAGCTGGCGATTTTTGTAACTATCATTCCCTCAGTGATCAGACTAATTTGTATTCAGGGTGGAAACATAAAAGTAACAGCAAAAATGAAAATTATGGCTTGGTAAACTACTAAATCATTAAATAGCTCCAGATGTTATACAGACAAAATGTTAACACTAGTGCCAGACAAAGTCTATCATCTCATTGTCAGTGGTTTGCCATTCACGGTCTAAAAGCTTAACTATATGAGCACTGTACTTCTTTTTAAGAATAATTCTCACAAAAAATCAAATTGCCATCTGCACAATAACTATGATCTTAACATTAGCAATCGTAACCTGTAATTACTGTTATGTTAAAACATGGTATATACTCAGCACTAAGCACTTCTGAAACTGACTTTTGCTGAGATTTACTTCACTTATGTTATATGAGGGACTCCGAAGATGAAAGCGAAGAAATCTCAACTTCCTACTTAATCTGCAGTATAGCATTCTATTTCATAAGCAAACCCTTTTTATTTGATTTTGGTATTTCATTCTGACCTGTCGATAGCACATTGCAGGATTCTCACGAGCATAGCAGAATAAGATGTTGACCATTGCATTTTGTATCATCTCCTTCCTGAAGAAGTCTACTCCTGGAAAGGTCCTTACCACATCCTGCTTTATAAGAGACCGCAGCTCCTTGTCACAGAAGTACTGATGCCATATGCTCTGAAGTTAAAAAATCAGTACTGTATTTCTTCATAGACAAGAGGTGATTCTGAAGAAAACAGTCTTCTGGGATTTGGCACCGTGTATATGTGGTGTTAACCGACGTTTCGGAGGAACGTATCGCCCCCATCTTCAGGGTAGAAGAAAAAATATAAGAATTCTGCAAGCGGTAAAGCAGTCTGCTTTACCGTTTCTCACGGTGTTGTCGCTTACAGAATTCTTATATTTTTTCTTCTACCCTGAAGATGGGGGCGATACGTTCCTCCGAAACGTCGGTTAACACCACATATACACGGTGCCAAATCCCAGAAGACTGTTTTCTTCATAGTCACCGCCGTGAAAGCCTCAAATCTTACAAGAAGTGATTCAGTGCATACTCACAAGAACAGAAAACTGTATACTACTAAATCAAAGTTATGCAGCATTACACACCTATGGCATGTGGATGGTGACTCCTTTACATTCAAAAGCAAAAGTTCTAAAGTTACTCTGTATGTCCATAAGAATGCAAAACAAAGGCTAGAGGACAAAAGAGTGCATTACCATATGTGAGTGGTAAAAGGCTGTAGTAATGCAGTAATGCAATCAGTGAGAAGCACAAACAGTTGCAGGTCCCATATAAACTTATTAGGATGGAAATTTCATGGCAATTACAGGCAAGAAGAGTATCTTATTTTTATGCAAAGGTATTTATAGGTGGTGACAGAATTTCAGTGCTTAAAATGTGTTTTCACTGAACTGAACTTTCATACATTACTAGGAATCACTGGCTTATTGTGAAATATTGTTACTGTGCTGAAAACCCTCCATTCTCTATAGCAGTTGAGATTTCCCTACAAGTTGCTAACTTTCATGCTTACTCACCTACTAGTATATATTTTGTTTCTCAGCTGACGACATTAATTTGTGGAAGTTCCTATTATCATTTTGTTTATTAATTTTACCCATTAATGTAAGAGCAGTTCTTTATTTCTTAATACATCAGGCCACTACAACACATCAAGACTTACTTCAGTTTTCTGGGACAGAGGATTGTCTTCAGGCTGACTCCTGTCCCATGGATCAAGAGATAGTTCTTTGAGAACTCTTGCATAATGCTGACGTTGTTGTCGAAGCTGGCTAAGCCACTGACTTGTATCAGGAGACAAAACTGCCAAAAGAGAACGCCAACATACACTGCGAAAGCGTGATGCTCTAAGATTTCCCAGAATAGCACGACGACGAAGTTCGCCAAGTTCTGGATCATCTCTCCTGTATAATTGGGCCCACTCTTCCCTGAATAAAAAATGCACAGTATTCATCAAGAAAAGGCCTCACTCAGTACCACTGGCAGCACTCAGTAAGACAATGCTATGGACAAATGAGATCCACAGAACTATTGCTACCCAGAAGAATCCTGCATCATGAAGTTCCAGTATTGATTTGTACCTGACAAAAGGCTATAACTGTTAACAGTATTATATAAGAACAACAGTGATAAAATTGCTGTGCAGGTGCAAATTTATTACAGTAATTGGAATCATTTGAATATGTTAACAATATACTACAACAGAAGTATTAAAGTACTATAAAATCACAAAATTCTTTATAGGCTTTCCAAATAGACATCAAAATGAAGTATAATCACCAAATGCTGATGAACTCACAGTTAACTTTCTTTTGTGGGGATGTCTTAACGTTGTGTGTGTCTTTGTCATTACTCCTAGGACAACCCACTTCTTCGAACAGTTTGTTGGCCCTGAAAAGGACCGTGGCTGCTGAGATGATTGACCGGTGAGGTAGCGCGGCGCGCGCCGGTAAGGAGAAAGGCTTGCTGCGGTGAAAGGCTAGTGGAAAGGCTGGTTGCGGTGAAAGGCTTGGCGAAAGGCTAGTGGAAAGGCTAGTCGTTGAGCGCGGTCGTAGGAGTCGTGAGGCAGTGGCTACGCCAGAGGTCCAGTGAGTCGGACCGTAACACGACCACCGGCGAGTCCAGGCGCTGTGCCCCAGTGAGTCGGGTGTGAGAGCGCTGGAGGGCCGAGGCAGCCGTGCCCGGCGCAGCCTGCCGATGCCTCCGAAGACCGAGCGCTGGCGACGAAGCCTGCTGGCTGAAGTTGCTTGATGCGGCTAGCTCGTAGACTGATGATGAACTGAATGGAACTGCATAACTCGACTCTGGGGTCGCTCCTTTTTATACGCTGGTCGGTGGGGCGGAGCCAAACTCGAAAGTGAGGAGCAAGAATTGATTGGCTAGCGCGCGTAATGGTGTAGACGCGGGCTAGCGCCGAGCGTAGTATAAATGCGATCGTTTGAAGCAATCTGATTGGTTAGCGCGCGTGATGGTGAAAAGTGATGTGAAGAGCGAGCGTTGCAGAAATGCGTGATAATGTGGGATGTTCCCACACTTTAACTGTCATAAAATTACTGCATATCTTACTGTAAGGGTATCATTAATAGTCTTCTTGATCATCTTAATATGCATTCTAACATTACAGTTTTTAAATATCTCATCAAGCTTTCCTATGCTGGACATAAATTCAGGAAAATTCCTTATACAGGAAAGGGTGTATTTGTTCCACTTAAGAGTGTTAATAAAGGTAAAAAATAAAATAATGCATATACTGAAGCAATATATGAGAATCTTTCTAACCTTAGATTTATCTTGAATTTTAGTGCCTACAATTAAAATGGCAGAAGCGAGAAAATAAGTAATGGTGATTATTGATATTTCTTTGTTTTGTAATAAACATGTGAAATATACGTAGTATGGCAGTAAAGCAAATCAGAGTTTGATTATCTTAATTCAAGAGATAAAAACAAGTGTTTATAAAGTAACAACTTAAGTTTACTGCATAGCAACTTGCTCACTGAATAAGTGGCACAGTTTTCCTTAAATGACGAGATACAACTGCTCTCTAAATTTTCCCACAGATTCAAGGTCTTCATTCCTACTGACAAAACAATGATCAGAATGTTCTTAATTTACAAATTTAATGAACTGCCAAACCTTGTAGCTGAACTATTTTATATTCCAATTAGTAACACCCACATAGAAAGAATTTGTTTCCACAGTGGGAAATACATAGTGTGAGAGAAATGAAATGACAGCATTAATAAAGGCAGAGATCTGTGTGAAGGATAAATTTGACATGACTTGCCAAGAATTGTATAAATTTATTAGTAAGCCTGAGCAAGTTCCATTACTTGAAAGGTCATCAAATAATAGCACATACGCTTGGAATTAAAATCTAACTACACATTATCAGAACCGAAGATGACTATTCACTCATGGAGCTGAGCCCTTCTCGAGACGCCGCCAATTGTGCAGTTACTCAAGAACCTCCGGGTATTTTATGGAATATATGATATAACTCCGTCCTAAATGCAAATTATATTCATAGGTCTTTTGTTTTGTTCCTCTCTATACACTATATGTTTCGGCCCCAAACGGCCATCATCAGGTGTATACACTCACGTATCTGTTACACTGCACTTATTTATAACATTTAAAATTTAAAAACATCGGTCTTCCTGATTAGCACTTACAAAATCTTCGGTTCTAATTTGAAATCCTTTAAACATTTTTTCTCTAAACTTTAAATTTTAAAAATGTCAGGGTTACTCGCCCTATACAATACTAGAAACAAGATGAAGCCACTGCAGCACTATAGACATCGGGTGAGTAACCCTGACATTTTTAAAATTTAAAGTTTAGAGAAAAAATTTTTAAAGGATTTCAAATTAGAACCGAAGATTTTACAAGTGCTAATCAGGAAGACCTATGTTTCTAAATTTTAAATGTTATAAATAAGTACAGTGTAACAGATACGTGAGTGTATACACCTGATGATGGCCATTTGGGGCCGAAACATGTAGTGTATAGAGAGGAACAAAACGAAAGACCTATAAACATAATTTGCACTTAGGATGGAGTTATATCATATATCGTATAAAGTGCAACAGGATGCTTAAATATAATATTTTATGGATCCCGAAAGTTGAGTATCATGTTAACGAGAGCCTTCCACTGGTCTCTATCCAGATCAATCCAATCCATACCATCCATTTTAATACTGTCCACCCACCTACATCTTGGTCTTCCTAGTGGTCTCATTCCTTCTGGCCTTCCCACCAATATCTTATATGCATTCTGCTTCGCCCCCATTCGTGCTACATGCCCTGCCCATCTCATCCTTGACTTGATCATTGTAATTATCCTTGGCAAAGTGTACAAGTTATCAAGCTCCTCATATGCAGTTTCCTCCAAGATGACTATTATAGTAATCTTAATTTGAAACAGCAACAGAAATTATATCTGATGAATGCATGGAAATATAAGTAGGTAATGGTATAAAACATTCATTAAAGTAAGACAGACAAAGGCCTCACAAATCTTTATTATTACTGTGCCTTAAGAAAACCATCGAAAATTAATTTCCTGTGATTTATAATTTTGTTATTCATTGGTAGATAAAATAAATCGTATAATTTGTTTTAAATATTAAAAAACGGTTATATTTAACCTTCCCAGTCCTTCGCCTTCGGAATATCTCCGAGGCTGAAGAACTCATGGTCACGACTTTAGCTGTTCGCATAATTCCTGAAGTACATTAGCAGCATGGAAGAATGCTGATTCTTACTCGTATTTCTGAACTGAAGCGCTCTTTTCAGATGAATCACAAGATGTCTCTTCTGGTGTAGATATTGAGCTCCTCTCCGTGGTATCTTCTTCCTCTGTCAGTGATCGTAATCCCGGCTGATCTATGAATTTAAAAGTATTCATTTCATTACAAGGACTTACTTTACACGGCAACCGGCAATTAGACCTTTCCTCCGTGGGCTTAATTTTTACCTGATAAACTACATTCCCGTTTTTCTTCTTCTTCATTCATCATTCTTGCAGTCAACCGCTCAAATTGACTCTGTCAAATACAAGCTTCACATGTTGGAATCAATGTTTGTTTTTGGTGGTACATTAACATAATCCTTTACATCACCACGCTATCTTATATCCACGTTTCAATCAGCTGACTATTCACAACTTTTCTACAAATACTTTAACTGGGAATGTTGGTGTAACTGATACCTGTTGAGATCAATGTAGTTATATGTACTATATGATAAATGCAATTTGTTCCGTTTTATAGTCGTTATTTTATTCTTCTGCGTTTGTATTTATTACTCCATTAAACGTCAATTTACTGTATATATACATATACAGTAAATATATCAAATATATATATATATATATATATATATATATATATATATATATACATATATATATATACAGGCTTGCTGTTTTATATGTCTTTATGTTCTAATAATGTTGCAGTTAACAATTGGTCTGAATGGGATGGCAACCATGATAATGGTCACTGAACCACATGATAAGAATGGAATGTGGGTACGTGTGTACGTAGGTTGATCCAAGCTGGTGAGCCTGGTGAGGTTCCGTGTGCTCCTCATGTATTTGGTTCGTGCTGCTCATAGTCCCCATAATTCATTAAGTTCCATTAAAATGACGGCGCTAATCATCCGTGGCTCTTAAAACCCCAGCAAATATTTAGTGATCCGTGCTAGTAAAAATGTTGGCGAAGAAGTACATGCTTTTCACATGCAGTTTGTTCTGAAGGCGTATGAAGTTTTAATTATTATTCTTCATTATTAGTGCTGTCGAATATAATTTATAACGTTATGACGTTAAAATCCATAATATACGAAAATGGTAAGCTTGAAATACTTGACCAACTTTTATTACCAAGTCAGTCTCAGTATATTGAGGTTAAAGGTGTGGAAGATGGTTGGCGAGCCATACATAAGATGCATGTAAGTAAATTGAATACCTTCAAATTAAATTATATTCTCGTGGACTGTATGTAAGAAATCTTACTGTTTCTCTAAGGGGCATAACCTCACGTTTGTAAAGGTTATTTATGGATGTGTATGTTAGCGTAACATGATACAGAATGTTAGGTGTGTTTGAGCGGCTTGCCGCATTTGCCTGCTCGAGAAATTGCTGCATTCTAAATCAGACTTTTACGAAATGAAACTGGGTGCTACTATAAGTATACAAATAATGTTTAAGGATATGGATGTGGAAAGAATGTATATCATGTTTGCACATATCCCTAAAATACGTAGTAGTGTGTTGCTTTATTTATTTATTTTTTTTTTGAGAAACATGGAGAATCCAGTATGAAAGTTATTGTTGAATGATTAAGTAGGGGGTTTCTGTTTCTTTAAGCTAGTAAATTGCTGGGAAAGAGCCACATTTTATTGTTTCATTGTCCCCTACAGGTTCGTGGTGCTCCAGCCATTGCCATTGTTGGATGCCTTAGCTTGGCTGTAGAGATACAGCCAGAGGTATTCACTGACAAGAAGATTTTGCGACAGGAAGTGGAAGGAAAGCTAAACTATCTTGTATCTGCTCGACCAACGGCAGTTAACATGAAATTGGCTGCAGATGAATTAATTTCTCTAGTCAATGCTCTTGATAAAGACGAACTGGTTTCAGCAGAACAAATGAAAAAGAAGTAAGTGCTGATGTATGTTTGACAATCGGCATATGATTTGACATGTACTTTCTTGTATCACTTTCCCCTTATAAAGTTTGTGATCACCCATTAATGCTACTGTGGCAGGATGTAAAAACTCCACAGATATATTTTGGTGAAATCTTATATTTAGAACATTCACGAGATTTATTGATAAAATTTAATTTTGGTCCTGATTTGATAATGTGCACTGAGACATTCCAGATGAAGACCCAGTGCTTTGATGTGTTATAGAGATTTTCTTCATACAGTATATTGTTTTCAATATTATCATCAGTAATAAAGCCAAATGTTTTTTAATTGTGTCAGTTGCTGTTTGTTTTAAGGGTTTCATGGAGTCCTCTTATTGTTATTTATTGAAGATTTGGTAGCAAATTTAACAGCCAATTCTAAGTAAATTTCTGCAATTGTAATTTGAAGTTGTTGTGTTTATATATTTTTTTAATTCACTTAGTGGGGGGTGGAGTCCAACTGAGTCCACTCGGCACAGCGGCCAGTGATTGGCCTATTGTAGCCTGCCCCGTGTGATTGTGATGATGGAGAATTTGGTGGAATGAAGATCGGCAGGGAAACCGAAGTGCTCGGAGAAAACCTGCCCCAGTGCCACTTTGTCCACCACAAATCCCACTTCACCAGACCTGGGCCACCACGGTGGGAAGCCAGTAACTAACCGCTTGAGCTATGGTGCAGCTTATGTTTATATAACCTGTATCCATGATGTTGTCAAGACATAGTTGACATTACCAACCTGCTTTCTGCATCTGGTGGCAGTGGTCACTTGGAAATTTGTGTCTTCTTTGACTGAAATACAGTGAAACACCTGTTTGAGGTTTCTCTTGGGAGCAGTGGATTAGAATACTAAACTGAGGAAAATCTTAAATTCTGATAATTTAACACTAATATAAATTCGCTGACAAGCAGCAGTCACTTGGTTGGTATAGTACGCTCATGGACTACAGACCTTGAAATTTGTTTTGTTTTCAGTTTATTATTGATTTGGAATTATTGAAATTGGACAACAGGAAAGGGAAACCCTAAACTCAAGGCAGACATCAAATGTGTTTTCCGCTGTATTATGCAGGGTGGCTGAGAATCACCATATCCCTCAATATACCATGTGGCAAGAGTCACTGTACATCACACGGATTTGTATGTGTACCATTGTGTTTAAAACACAGCCTGATGCATTGCCACATGTGCCAAAGCATTTGTGGTGTAATGGTGGTCAATGCACATTCCGCAGCTTGGCACAACTCGTTCTTGCAGTAGCAGTTCACAGCCACTTATCCCTTGATAACACCCACAAAAAGTTTTCTGTGTGGTAAGATCAGGGCTACATGATGGCCAGGATAATGGTGTAAGAGATGATGGTGAACCATGTCCAATGCAGCGGCCTGAATATATTCTTTCAAAATGTTGCACACAGTACAGACAAAATGTGCAGGTGCTCTGTAATGCTGCAGCCACAAGTCTTTTGCAAGTCTTCTGTCTCTAAACTGTGGTAATGACACTTCTAACATTTCTGTGTAAGATGTGTTGTTAACAGATCTATCAAAGAAATAGGGCCAATGAAATGAGCTGCAGTCATACCAGTCCACAACATCACATGTGGTGGGTTATGTTCTGACTCCACCATGAAATGTTGGTTCTCCTTAGCCCAGATTACAACATTTCTATCGTAGGTAGTGTTATGAATTGTACACTCATCATTGAAGAGAATCTTTGAGCAGGATGCAGTATTCAAGAAAGTGTCCAGCCATGACATGTGCCATGGCATCCATTCATGTCATTGTTAGACAGTTGATATAGAATTTCAGGCCATACACCTTCAAATTCAAGGTTTTTCTTCCTGTGATCCTGCATTATTGACCATGGCACACCAAGCTATTCTGATTGTTCCTGCTTTGATTTCTAGGGGGAGCTATCAACTGAGATGGAAAAAGCTGCAGACATCAAGTGCTTTTTCCATCATGGACTCCACAGTGAACCCTTAACCCTTCCAGGGGTGAGCACATGTTTCTCCCAATCTAGCAGTGTCACTTTCTGTGGCAGCGCCTTGTTAAATTATTCACTTAAAATTTTCATCCGTTTGGCCATTGTTTGGCTTTTTTGTGACATGTCATGTGCCCACATGCTTGCTATTAACCACTCTCCAACTGAATATCTGCTCATATTGGCCATAGCCACAAGATAACTGACTCCCTTTGACTGTGCCCTGCAAGCACATACAACTGACACCACTTTCAAGTTCCACTCTCAGTGTTGCAGCACACCTCCTTTTTTAACTGTGTACTGTGGCACACATGGTAAGTTAGTTAGGAGAACAGTGACTTCTCTACCACACTGTATTTGACACTACTAGAAAAATGGGCAAGTTATGTTGGCATTGCAATGATGTACAACATATAAAAAGTAACAGGTTCTAACATATAATGTTAATTGCTCAGATTCCTAGGTGCGATTGAAACTATGCTGGAGAAGGACATTGCCGACAATCGTGCAATTGGTGATGCAGGTGCAAATGCAGTTCTAAGTCACTGTTCAGGGGACAGCATGGTGCGTATCCTCACACATTGCAACACAGGTACTTTGGCCACTGCTGGCTATGGCACAGCACTGGGAGTTATTCGATCTCTGCATTCCCTTGGGAGGCTAGGTAAATGTCAGCAGTGTGTGATGTATCACACTAATTTCCTAGTGTTTATTGTTTGTCTGGATTAGGTGTCCAGACTTCATTTGTAAATAACCAGTGTAACACAGATTACATGAGTAGAATGTTTTTCAATGCTTTGGAATGTGGACAAACAACAAGATATTATAGGATATTTGATTTAACAGTGGTTTCTCTGCTTCCCGTCTCTTTTCATTCCCTTTCTTCTAGTCTCCTAATATCTTCTTTATCACATTGTTCCTGTAGAACCACATTTGAATTGTAATGGGTAGCATATGTCAGTTTTTTTTATAGAACAAGGTATTCTTACATGGCCTCTTCTTTTCCTTCTTACTTGTGTATGTAGTACTGCAATTAATCAGGATAGCTCAGTCAGTATAGCTGTGGGCTGGACAGCCCAGATTCAGTTCCCTGCAGTGTAAGATTTGTCTCTTCTCTGCAGCATCGAGACAAGTTCTGGGGCCCACCCAGCCTCCTATCCGCTGGGTACTGGGGGCTCTTTCCCCAGGGGTGAAGTGACCTGGGCATGAAGCTGATCGCTTGACTCCATCTAGTGCCAAGGTCAAAAATGGTGTTATATCTCCACTCTCCAACACATTTTGATGGTGTAATGCTTAATTAATTAAGCACAGGGACCACTTTACCTTTTGTGTAGTATTGCATATGTGCGAATGTATTGTGATTTGTCTTGAGATCTAGACAGATTTAGATATTTTTCAGCCCATCTGTTATGAAACAATTGGTTTTTATTGTGCCGTGTGTATGTATGGATGCACGCCTCACTAGCACATGAATAGTTGGATGGATTTTTATTCATATTTTGTATTAGCATTTGAGAATAATATGCTGCCTCCATCTTCAAGGTTAAGAGGTGTGAGGTGAGGAATTGTTTGGGTTGTATAGGCACATGGACAGGATGCAACAAAGGTGGTCACTCAGATCCATGGGAAGGAGAGAAGACAGAATATGGAAAAAGAAAACAGCCATTTTCAGGACCACAGTATTACCATCATAGGAAGGAAATGGAATTGCGATAAAAGATGACCTTATTTCAAACTCCCACAAATGAAAAGTGAGGAAACAGCCCCCTTTTCAGGAACTTGGGTCGATGAGTATGGTCTGGAGAGAAGGAAACTATCTTGTCCCTGGAGATAATCATCTTTTTTTCTCTCAGGAGTGGATAAGGGGACTGCATGACCTCCCCAAGGAGATCCCATCCCTCATAATCATGCTCACCTTTCCTTTCCAGAGTTATAAGAAATAATATTAAAAGGAATTAATTAAAGGAGTGGACACCAATGAAAGATGTACTCTCATAAATGTAGTTAAGGACAGGTGAACAAAATGTGATTGGACAGATTAAGGAGCCAGATAACATGAGATCCTCAAGGGCAGTAATGCCAGAACTATCAGTATCAGTGGTACTGAGATTGATTTATTTACCACTAGAAGATACCAAGAAAGACTTTGGATGAAATACATAAAGCAGCACAACACTGCAGCACAGATCATTGATGTATGGTTGGCAGATTCACATCCAAAATCTTGCAATTAAAATAAGTTCTGCTTACAGAATTTTCACTTAGATACTGTATTGAATTTTGGAAGTCACTTTCTATAATGATTTATTATCCTTCAGTTCAATTTGAAACTTGACAACAAAAATGTAGTTACAGCCTGCTCTGGTCCAAGAGGTGAAGTTAAGTGATCTTCAAGAGCCAGCATTTTGAAACACTATGCTACAGACTTAAATGTGCTGTTTTCAGAAAATACATAGTTCTCTCAACTGATAGATTACATTCAAACTGGCCAACTATATCATAATTGCCCTAATACAAATTTGGTTGGCTAGCACTTATCATTTGTTTCAACATGTGCGTCGAACACATTTAAGTTGGATGCATGTCACTTTTATACATCATATTTGAAGACTTGTGGTTGCACAAACCTGTCAAGGAGGCGTCAGGCTTGTGCCTCAAAATTTCCACTGAAACATCGCATTACCAGTGCAGGACAAAGTAATATGACATTATAAAAGCCACAGTCATGGCCTAATTAATGGCCACATATATGTATATAAATATATCAAATTAGAGCCAGAATAGCAACTGCCTATATGCTGTACTCCTGGAAGGGGCAAGATTTCCTCTCCATATCCAGACTGGTTCTGGGGTCCACCCAGCCTCCTATCCAATGAGTACCAAGGCTCTTTCCCCTGGGGATAAAGCTGCCAGAGCGTGAAACTGGCCACTTACCTCCAGCTAGTGCTGAGGTCAAGAATACTTGGATCTATACATCCACTTGCCCATATGTCTTCATGATGATGTTTTTAAGTGGCTGAATTAGTTAAATATATAAAATTTATAATCCAAGTAAAATTAAAATAGTTATAAATAATGTCCAGTAATTACTTCAATAAAAATAATTAAATTATTTAAAATGCTCTGAAAGAAAATGATAACATTGTATGATCTGGTCCCTGTGCCTGGATTTCTTAGCCAGGATGCTGGCCCTTTTCGTATAGTATTTTTCAGGTCATCTGTTTGATTCCCAGATTAAGTAGGATTAGGAAATATATTTAGGTATTTCCATTTCCTTCTGATTCATCTTGTATAAATTTATTGCTGTTTTTCTGATGCTGTATGACTTTCATGGTTTATTCGTTTTTTTTAAATAAGATACTGAACTGGATCCACTTGACTTACTTGCCTGTAAGCTTGAGACATGTTTGGTTTCTTATGCTGTTCGAAGTCCAGTTTCTTTCTGGAGTCACTGTTAGGGAACTAGATTTACATGTTATGTAAGACATTGCAAAATTATGTTTTTAATTAACATTTTAGTTAGTTACAAATAGTGTTCTGTTCATCCCAATAGCTGTTTAGTGATACTACACAAATTCTGTGACCTCTACAGTTCTTTGAAACAAAAAATTGTGATGAGTGTAAACATAAATTAAACAATAAGAACTAACAATAACTTATTAAATTAATATTCAAATATTCAATCAGACAGAGACTTGCAGATGGTGTATTCTTAAGCACAACATGTCCTTTCTTGAACATGACCTTACATCAAAATTGTTTGACACTCTTTGTGAACCATTTAGCAACATGTACCCTGATTAATAAGTATGAAATAAGACAGTAGTGTTGACATCACCTGTAAGCTTTTTATGCTGTTGTATTTAATGTTGCATTTTAAATGGTGCACCAAGCAGTTTGTATGTTATAATTTATTGTGTTTTTGCTCTCACCTTCTAGGAATGCAACCATATTTTATGTTTTCACAGTGTAGTACTTCATACTATGGTGACTAGTTGTGGGCAGGAATTTTTCTTTGTCACAAAGTGTAGACCCAATTTGAAGTTTGGTAAACTTCATAAATAATGTATACTGACTGCTCTTGTTCCAGGAATAAATTAGCCATAATGCGAAAGTCTAGAATATGTGTGGAGGTTTACCTCTGTGTTTTCTGTATGTCCCCAAGCTGTGGTACATAGGCACTGTAGCAACCTTACCTTCTTTAAGCTTTAGCATACTGTACTGTATATAATCAGAACTTTAATCTACCATAAGTAGCTCTCTTCAGTCACCTTACACTTTCAATATATTCTAAAAATTTCTATAAACTGAACTTTATGTACCATTCCATTCATAAATGAGTTAATTGATTGAATTTTTAGTTATGTACCCGGCACCTGCTTATGTTAGGTAGTTTCAAACAATAGGATGACTGTATGAATGATGACCTGAGGAGTATCTGAAAGGAAGCAACTGTGGCCTATTTTTAGGTGCAGATGCATTCACCTGGAGATACTGACAAAGATCACAGTAACCTCAACCAGGGTGACCAGCATCTGGGTCAAGATTCCAATGTGGGACCTCATGAATATAAAGCAAAATCAATAATCGTTTGACCAGAACAGTTATTTAAAATCAGTTAATTTGGCAGCACAGTAATTAAGTCATGTGATAACAGACAATTGCTGTTTCATTACTTTGTGTACTGTATGGCGGTTGTCCCTTGCCGTGCTATGGTTATTTAAACTTTTAGATAATGCTGTCTTTAAGATGAGAGTCCAGTGGTGGGAACCAAGAAAATGGTATCCTAATTCTTGGGTTGGTCACATTCATTGTCGAGTGCGTAGTTTATCAAAAAACTCGCATTAAGTACGTAAGACAAAGCCATTTTTATTTTTTTTTTTGCAGAGCATGTTTATTGTACTGAAACAAGACCATATAATCAGGGTGCAAGACTAACGGCCTATGAACTGGTACATGATAAGATCCCAGCTACTCTTGTGTGTGATAGCATGGTTTCAGCTCTGATGAGAGCACGCAGTATAACAGCTGTTGTTGTTGGTGCAGACAGAGTGGCAACTAATGGGGACACAGCCAACAAAATTGGAACCTATCAGGTACCTTCTTAGTCTCATAATCTTCAAATGGTTGCTTAATAGCAACAGATATTTTTATTCATGTGGTAAGTATATCATTGCAACCTGGTTTTAAGCATTGGTCTTCCACTTTAAAAGTCAGCAGCTTAACCTCTGTACTATTCAGGTGGTGCTTTTGAAATGGTAATATTGTGTGGGGAAGTTTTTTTTTTAATTACTGCCTTTGCTACTCAGTCAGCCGCAGGAGTAATGAGACTGCAACATCATAGAATGAAGGTTACTGGCCATCTTGCAGTATCTTTGTCATTGTCACCAATCATCATCATCAGGGTCTGGACCTTGTGATTCATTCTGTTCCTCCATAAGATGGGTTGATCCTTTCAGTGTAACTTCGGGCATCTGTTGGATCTTGTTCATCTGGGTCTTTGGTCCAGTAACTGTTTTTGAATTGTGTTCATGTTCCATTCTTTCAAAATAATGAATCCAATTAAGTCTTATTCAGAACCATATAATTTAAAATGAATATATTTAGTTTGTTTCTAATCAATGTGTTTCTAATTTTGTCCATCGTTGTGTATCCTGTCACATTCTCAAACAATTTAATTTCTTCTGTTTCTGTCTCTTGCCTCTGCATTTTGTCAGTGTCCATGTTTCAGTGCCGTATATTAATGTTGGGATAGCCATAGTTTTATAAAATTTACTCTGTTTCCTTCTTTGTCTTTTTATTTAGTTACTCCCCTTATTGTTACATGTGGTTAAATTTACTCGGCTTCATATTCATTTCCAAGTCTTTATTCTTAAAAATTGAGAACATAGGTTTGGACATGAAGCTGAGTAAATTTAACCATGTGTGGGCTATCTGTATTATGTTTCAGAATTAATTGAATTGGCATAACAGATGGGGTGCACAAACTGTCTTACATGGCTGTGCCATAGCTCAGGCAGTTAGTCGCTGGCTTCCCACCACAGCAGTCCGGGTTCAAGCCCAAGTCATATGTGGGATTTTTTGTGGATGAAGTGGCAAGTGTTCCCTGCCAATTCTCATTCCACCAACTGCTCCACATTCATCATCATCTATCATCCAGGGTTGATACAATAGGCCAATTAGTGGCCAATGTACCAAGTGGACTCACCACACCCCAAGAAAAACCATCTTACATCCAGGGTGAATCAGGCACCAACTTATACCTTATGGAATGGAACTTCTTGCATAAGATGTTAAGTTCTTGAGCCTCAGTATCCACTACTGGTACCAGTACCATGAAACTTACCAATAAAGGAACAACTAGTATACCAATGAAAAGGAAATGAAAATGCCACATGGCATATTAAATTGAGAAGAATTGGGTGGTATCAGATCTTGACATGAACATTCACTTTGCAAGTCTGTTAACTCTAATAATACCAAAGCGTTATTCAGATCATTGTCTTCTGAGATGTGATGCCATGTAGTGTGGTAGATAGTTGCCATTGTATTTGAGGAGTCTTCTTCCTTCATCTTGAGGTAGGCACCAGGTTCATCTGAAATGTTGGTAACTACCAGACTGCTCAGCGTCACATAAGAAGACAATGTCTTCATGGTCACCATACTGAACATCAACTCTCACAAGCCATTATTAATGCTCTTGATTAGTAACAGGATAAGTGTGACCATCACATAAAATTTAGCTCTTTCCCCACAGTCTTACTTACTTACTTACTCATGGAGCTGAGCCCTTCTGGTGGAGCCACCAATTCTGCACCTACTCAAGAATTTCCCAGCATTTTATGAAACCCGAAGGTTCATTACCGTGTTCACAAGAGCCCTCCACTGGTCCCTACCCTGAGCCAGATCAATCCAATCCATACCATTCCATCCTATCTCTTTAAGATACATTTTAATATTGTCCACCCACCTACACCTTGGTCTTCCCAGTGGTCTCTTTCCTTGCGGCTTTTCCACCAATATCCTATACACATTCGTCTCCCCCATTCGTGCTACATGCCCTGCCCACCTCATCCTCCTTGACTTGATCATTCTAGTCTAGACCAATTATTTATTCAGGTTTCAATTTAGACTTTTATTAGACTGCATAAAATAACAAACCTCAAAGGCTATGCTGGCAGTAGTGTCTCCCTTCACAGAAAGGTGGAGAGGTAGGTGTCAGATGCGCCTCCAGGCTGGGGCCTGTGCAGGTAAGCTAGTAACCTCTCCACCTAAAAAATTTTAATACTCATATATTTCACAGAAACACAGTCTAGTATTGCTAAAACTGCAAGAACTGTAACTACAACCTTGCAACACCAAAGTTATACACTCTTTGCAGCCATGTGATCCAGTGTTTCTGTAACTGGTACCTTTCGTAAGTTCATGGTGGAAAACCTGATCCTCCTTTAGACAAGGCTTGGTTTTATTTGAATGGACACATGAACACAAAACAACGGTGTTGGAACACAGGAAATCCATATGCAGAAAGTTCCATTGCACTTTGTAGAAGTTGGTGTTTGGTCCACCCCAAGTCCAAGAAGGAGGGCATGAGCTTTACGCAGCTTCAGTTAATTCTGAAAGATATGTAAGGCAAATGCTGCAAGTGGGTTAATAGCCTACACTGTATGATATTGACATACCTGACTGAATAGGAAGAGTTACAGCTGATTTAATGATCACACAGTGGAAAGGCTGTGCCCTGGCACAACTGCCATATGGTGTCTCTTTACTGTGATGAGAAGAAATATGACTATGGATTGCTGGCTATAGATGTGAAATAAAATGAAAACGAAGAAAGCAGTCTTCTGGGATTTGGCACCGTGTATATGTGGTGTTAACCGACGTTTCGGAGGAACGTATCGCCTCCATCTTCAGGGTAGAAGGGAAAAAATATAAGAATCCACAAGCGAAGAGACCGTGAGAACCGGTAAAAAGCAGTCTGCTTTTACCGGTTCTCACTGTCTCTTCGCTTGTGGATTTCTTATATTTTTTTTTCCTCTACTCTGAAGATGGAGGCGATACGTTCCTCCGAAACGTCGGTTAACACCACATATACACGGTGCCAAATCCCAGAAGACTGCTTTCTTCATAGTCACCACCGTGAAAGCCTCAAATCTTACAAGATGTAAACGCTTTAATTATATCAGTATAGATTATTTTAAGCACAAGCTGGGCAAAGAACAGGTACTTTAGCTGGTATAAAATGGTGTTCTCATTTCTGTTAGAAGCTAATTTTTTTATGATTAAATTGAAAGCCCCCAAGGTTACATGTGGGAAGGAAGACTGAGAAGTTTACTTCATTTTGTAGTAATAAGGGCAGTAACTGAAAAATGCTTGCCATTTCCTCCATCCAGTTTTAGCTTATTGTATGAAAGTAAGTCAGAGTAGTCTCTTAGAATGTGTTTTTGGCCGTTATATAGAGACAATTTATCATAGAGTTTATTTAATGATATTTATTTGGAATGTAAGTACAGAAGCTAAATATGTTGCTGTGTTATAGATTGCAGTAGTGGCAAAGCACCATGGTGTCTTATTTTATGTAGCTGCACCTTTCACATCTATTGACTTCAGCATACCAAGTGGAGAACACATTGTGATAGAGGAAAGGCCAGAACGGGAGATGAGTCATGTTGCAGACCATAGGATTGCAGCACCAGGTTTATTTGTTTTTCTCACAGAGCTTTCTCAAATTGTTTGGCATGTATTCGTACCATAAAATGTTTCCAACAAGGTTTTATAGGTGTGAAAACTAAAAATACTGTGACAAACATGAGTCCAGATGTGGTTTGATTTGGCTTTTGAAAATTAGTTTAAAAGAAACTTCAAATGTTAATTATGAAATGTGAGGCCTCAGAACACTGAATACTACCTATCTACTGAACTACACAGCTTCACATTCCAGAAGACTAACCTTTGTATTAATACTTACATTCATTATATGCTAGACCAGCACATGCTAAGTTTTTTCCACACTTCTTAAGGCTTATTGTATGATGGCTGGCATAGTTCATTTATGATTTTAAGAGTTTCTTCAGTTCTCCCATAGGGGGCAGTAGTGGTACTATAACAGTGCATAGCAGTACAGGCATTCTAGTTGCATTGCTATGGTAGTAGCACATAGCTACAACAATAACAATATATAACTCTTATTAACTGGCAGAAATTTCCTACTTCCCCTGTTGTTTATTTCTTTCTGTATTCTGCCTTTAAATTTCCAGAAGACTGGAAGATATAATTTCCATAATTTTGGAATTTATCGTATATTTACGATTGTATACAATCTGTTTATGGAGATGCGACAAAGCGAGAACTTGAATGCTCTCTATTGGGAAGCAAGAAGCAAAATGGGTTAAATGATCCCAAATGCAGCCATTGGAAACCAACCAACCAACAATCGGTTTATTTTTAGGACTTTTTCCAGGCTAAGATATCAGCATAAATTAGGTCCATTGACCCATATTGACTAAGATCTTATATGGTGTTATTATATATTTGTCTTCCAATATTCTTTTTTCCTTGTGGACCATAATTCAGAACTGTCTTAGAAGTGATTTTCTTCCATCCTTTCAGCACGTTTCGACTATTTACTTCCATGATTTGAACTTGTACGTCTTTAAGTTTAAAATACCAGGTCTTACTTTTTAATTACCACAGTCATGGATACCGAAATAGTAACTAAAGCAACAGCCTGTGCATGTACATGGAATGTAAAATTGTTGATCAGTTTGCTGCATAGATCATAATAGTGAATAGTGCTCAATAATTTGCACATCAGTTTGAGGAAGACACAATGGTACTTGAATAGGCTTGGATTAATAAACATAATTGACCATAATTTCTGGATTGAAAAGTTATTCACCCTTTCCTTCGTATTTCTTACCTGTGGCTTCAGCCAATTTCTCCAGTCTATTTTTTACTACTGCCTTTCATAAATGAGATATTTTTACTAGCTAACTCCATGGAGCAGGATCCTTTAAAAGCTAATAGCCAATCAGACGCCTTTATGGAGCCTGAAAATTCGTTCATCATTGGTCTCTATCCTTAGCCATTTAAATTAGTCCTCACCCTCCAATCATTTTTCTTTCAAGACTCATATTACTATTATCCACCTATTTACAACTAGATCTTCCAAATGGTCTTTTCCCTCTGGGTGTTCACCCAAAACATTGTACACATGTTTCATCTTTCTGATGTGTGCATATCACGGTACACAGCACTAAACACTACATGCCTTGGAATGTTGACAGGTATCAACTGTTGGAATCCAGCATTTGATGTGACTCCAGCAAACCTGATCACAGGGATAATCACAGAGAAAGGTGTATTTAGTCCATCAGAACTTGCCAAGCATCTGAAGACTGGCAGTGATTACCCTCACTCCTAGTCTGATTTTTTGCTGGGACACCAGAGTGCCTACCAAAAGTAGAAGATGTTCTTTGCTCAACTTTAATAAATATTCCAAGTTTATATCATTAGTATTCAGCAGAGATGTATTTTAGCATGTATTACAAGCTGATTGCAGTTTTTTTTTTCTGCTGTAAAGAATATGTAGATAAGGGCATGTTTTTTAATATTATGATATGAGGGAAAAGACTTCAAATAATTTTAGAGCCTAGGTTTGTGATAAGGACATGCTTTGAATTAATCCCTCCTGATTTACCATTTATAATTATCCTAATATTCCTTCTCCACTGATGTAGTCATTAATGACAGAAATTGTATGGTATAGCCTGACCAACCAAGTGACATCTGAAAAAGGTCAAATCCAGACCAAGGAGCACTAAAATTGTTTTATAGTTTTCTTCTTTCCAATTATATGAAAATCTTGATAATACCCTGAAGTAGGTCACAATTCCTTCATCCCTCTCAATTCATAGTTCATAGTCATCCCACATTGTTTCGTAACATCAATGCATACAGAATCATAAAATAAATGGTGTGTTGAATAAGAAATCTTTTGTTTCAATTGTAAATGACCTCTAAAGCTTGACTTATTCAGTTCTTTCTTCTTTCTTTTTTTATTTCAGTGTGAATGTTGGAGATATATTTACATTTCATCTTATTGCATTCCACAAACTTTTCTTGGATAGGGAGTTTAAAAATTAATAACATTCCAGTAACATGTCAACTCTGACTTGTGTGTTATTTCAGAAGTATAGTTTCATTATGTAGAATCATCAGATTGTATCAAACATTAATGAAAACATGTTTAATTCATACATAGAGATTGATGGCAGTAGTGATGATGGTAATTAAATTTACTTCAGTATTGATTCTGTTCAACTTGTACAGCGAATGCCTTACCAAGGAAGCTCTGGATGGGCTCAGAGACTTCAAAGTAGTAGGGCAAATTATTCAAACTGTGAAATATGCAGATGACCTTGTGTTAATGGCTAAGGAAGAAACTGTGCTACAGGGCATGATTGATAGACTAATTGAAATTGGAAGGTGCTATGGCATGGAAATGAATGTGGAAAAAACAAAAGTAATGAAAATTTCGAGACAACCAACCCCAGTCACAATAAAGATAGACCAAAAACAACTGGAGAATGTGAAATGTTTTAAATATTTGGGTAGCTTGTTAACAGATGATGGAAGGTGTACTAGTGAAATTAAATCCAGGATTGCCATGGCAAAAGCTGCATTTAGCAAGAAGAAGAATCTTTTTACCAGCAAATTGGACTTAAATTTGAGGAAGAAACTAGTGAAATGCTACATTTGGAGCATAGCTCTGTATGGGGCTGAAACATGGACACTTAGGGCAGTAGATCAGAAACATCTGGAAAGTTTCGAAATGTGGTGTTGGAGAAGGATGGAGAAGATCAGTTGGACCGATTATGTGAGAAATGAAGAAGTGTTAATTAGAGTCAGTGAGCAGAGGAATATCCTACACGAAATAAGAAAATGGAAGGCTAATTGGATTGGTCATGTTTTACGCAGAAACTGCCTTCTAAAAGAAGTTATCGAAGGAAAGATAGAGGGGTGGATAGAAGTGACAAGAAGACGAAGAAGACGTAAGAAGATCCTGTATGACCTTGGGGACAGAAGAGGATACTGTCATTTAAAGGAGAAAGCTCTAGATTGCATTAAATGGAGGAATTGTTTTGGAAGAGACTGTGGACCTGTCATCTTGACAGATTACTGATGATGATGATTGAATCCATCGGAAAATATACTGTAATTCCTTCAGACTGCAAGACACTATACATTTTATCTTGCATATTTAGCATGCGTCACTATTTTGCAGTTTCTTAGTATGTGTCATTTGTGCAGGTGTAAAGAGAGGAGCAGCGCGGAAATGGTTCATTCATTTACGAAAACAAAATTTCCTTATATTACAGTTTCTTCATAATCATGTAGGGCTACTTGTTTTACAGTTTCTGTGTTTCTTCCTCAGTAGTTGTGTATTACAGCATAAATTGTGATGTCCTAATACGGGTAGAATATTCCAAATAATTACATACATGCAATATTTTGTATGTAGCTTATATTTTTCTCGTCCGTTAAACCGCATACCTCATATTTGATGTAATGACCAAAAACATATTCAGATAGAAGCTACATCCACATATTAAAATAACTGCAATATATTTGCATTAAATAAAATTCTGAATAAAACATTCCTGTCTTTCAAATAACTTAGTTGTTTACACATTGTTAATTATGGGGTAGATTAATTTTTTGGTACATTCTGAAAGCAATTCAAATGTTGTAATCAACTAAAGCTCCTTAATTTTCTCATTCAGTCAAAATCCACACTGATGGCTCCAAACTTCTAAATGGTTATTCTGGTTGTGGAGTGTAATTTAATGATACTGATAAGGAAATTAAACTTGTTAAAGCAATTACAAGGAATGCACTTCATTTAAAGTAGAACTAGTAGCAGTAAAATGTGGCTTTGTAATATCATGACAGATCAACTCCAAGGCACATTTTCTTCATAGACTCTCGTTGTACTGTCAACATTTTCTTCACGGACTCTCGTTGTACTGTCAACATTTTCTTCATAGACTCTCGTTGTACTGTCAACATTTTCTTCACGGACTCTCGTTGTACTGTCAACATTTTCTTCATGGACTCTCGTTGTACTGTCAACATTTTCTTCACAGACTCTCGTTGTACTGTCAACATTTTCTTCACAGACTCTTGTTGTACTGTCAGCTGTCAGAAGTTGTTTTACCAGATAATTTTAAAGGAAATGGCATAGAATATCAACAAACTCTGCAAGGATAGCTTAATTTCATTCTAGTGGATGTTCCATGTTTTTAACCAGAAATGGAAGAGCAGATAAACTAAACAGAATATCAGCACATACTCATTAGTATATTACAAAGATGCACAAAGGGGAAGTGTGAAAAGGAATGAAGGGGAAACTAATGCTTACCATTGGGAACATGGACATAAACCTGGAACAGCAGCTGTGGAGACTGAACTAAAACAAAGCTGATTTTGCTAGAACCACAAGCCCAGAAACTTTGTATATTGATCAGTATTTGCCCAGAATGGAGGTGAGAGTCTCCTGGAAAGTTCAAAATGCAACACACAATGCATCACCAGTACACATATTTGATTGTAGGAGCGTATTGATACCACGGCGGACGGATGTTACCTAGAACCGGCCAATAGTATTAAACAAGTTTGTGAAAGTGTACAATGTACATATAAGAAGTGAATCCAGCAGAAGGAATTATGGATAAAATAATTAAGATTATATAACAAACTCTTTTATAATAAATATTAAATCCACATGTAAGTATGCAGTGTTCGTTTATGATACTGAGATTGATCAGAAGTAAAAAGTCTGAAGTCCTACTGAATGAATTAACAGTCAGTATTAAGGCTTCAATATTTACTGTTATTATACACTCGAAACCAAAATTAAGTGTACATACATTGTTTCATATGTGGTTACAAATTGTGTTGTAATAAATCATTACTTAAAAACACATTGTTTCATGTGGTTACCAATTGTGTTGTAATAAATCATTACTTAAAAACAGTTTTATTTTAGTGTGGTCTGAAATTAGTAAAAATATATGATTTGGTTTTGGTGTGTATGTTTATTTTTTTAACTGTGGTTATATTTGGGAAGCCATGGTCGTTAGTCCAATATGAAAGTTTGAAAATGTACAGGCAGTATCTCTTGTATAATTACCTAGAAACCCATAAGATTTGCAGTCATATTGCATTAGGAACAAAATGTGTTTAATTTTTCTCAACAACTTCCATTAACGAACTATATTTCTTTCCAACAGATATCCATGAGATGTGTGCAGAAATGCATGTGGTTCTTCTTGTAAAGTCATCGTTAAACATGTCTAAGTGAAAACTGAAGTTGTTCGACAGTCTTTCACAAATTTATCCAATATCAAATTCTGCGAAAATAGAGTAATTCTATAGTTATTTCATGCGTACAGGTGGGCGGACAAACCGACTGAGTGAATTGTATGTGCTCCGCTGGAATGTGAACACACTGTATAATTCCACGAGTCTGTCTAAACCAGTGCAGAAGAGTTTGAGCTTGAGTTGTACAATATAGGGTTAAGTCAATAAGTAAGTTACAAATGGATATAGAACTTAAACAGATAAGAGTACTGATTTGAGAAAAGCTTTTATTTCTCAGCATAATCTCCCTGTACACTGAGGCACTTGTCACATCATTTCACAAGTCCCTGAAAACCAGCAGCATAAAATTCTTTGGACTGCTGTCGGAACCAGGTGGTGACTTCCCTTTCTACATCATCGTCAGGAAAATGTTCAGCCGAAAGATGAGGTTTAAGAGGGCCAAACAAATAGAAGTCGCCTGGAGCAAGACTTTTCACCTGTGACGATTTGGGCTACCATTTTGTGTCCTTCATCGTGGTAGTGATTGAGATCCTGTAATGCCAGACCCATTCTTTACATTTTATGTTGTGGGGTCAGCATATGTGGCACCCATCATGCACAGACTTTGTGAAAACCTAACCTGTCATGGGACTTCCCTTTGTTCAGTCCTCTTAAACATCATCTTTCAGCTGAATATTCTCCCGATGATGAAGCTGCAGGAAGGGAAGTCACCTGGTTCTGACAGCAGCCCAAAGAATTTTATGCTGCTGGGTTTCAGGGGCTTGTGAAATGATCTGACAAGTGCCTCAATGTACAGGGAGATTATGTTGAGAAATAAAAGCATTTTTCAAATCAGTACTCTTATTTGTTTAAGTTTTATATCCATTTGTAACTTACTTATTGACTTACCTACGTATATCACGGAAACTCTTAAAAGGAAGAAATTACTATGCAGAGGGTCCAGAATAAGACCATTAGCGTAACTGTTAATTTCCACATTGTAGTGCAGTACATTTTTCAACAAGCCTCATTCACAAGCAGAACTGTGGGTATGATCATAGACGGCATTGAAGCGAAGCGTGGTTCACTGTGAATCCCGCTTGCTAGTTGGTTTGCAGATTGGCCGGTTGGCGGTGCGCATCTCGTATCCGTTCCGATGGTCGGAGTCGTTAATGGTGGATCCGCGTAGTACCAATTTGGATGTTGAGCCGGCAGCCCGTGGCTTAACATACTAGCTGACTGCCGAGTGAAGAACACATAAATAATTTGCGTTTGTGATAAAGATAAATACACACGCAAGAAGAAAAATGGACGCCACCATTGAAGAAACTTTCGTGGGAGAAATTCGCCGGAAATCTGTTCGGAGGACTTACAAAATTGAGGAGGTAGGCGGAATTCGTTTCTATATATTAATTAAACAATTTATTTTGTATAATATCAAATTTTATAGTACATCAATATATATAATTTATGGCTATAGGTAGCGATATCTTTTAATAGGCCATCCATAAGAACATAGATATTATTTAGATTTTAAAGGCTTCTGACGATGGTGTATAACATATAGAATTACTGGGTTTTCTGGACTTTTCCCATCGTCAGGTATTCTAGAGAACTGAAAAGACGACGTTTCGGAAACTGGATCTGTTTCCGTCCTCAGTTGAAAGGGGGAGAGAAGACACCTCAGAGCTGATCTCAATCACGGGAACGTTGTGTTTCCTATTCTCTAGAATACCGGACGATGGAAAAAGTCCAAAAACCTAGTAATATAAGTTATTTTTCCATGCATCATAAATTATTCGTATCCTTACTCTTCAGAGGATAAGTGGTATTTTATAAAGTTTGTTGAATTTTAATTATGACCAGCAGAGGCTGTAAAATATTAAAAACATAAAAATTGTCCAGTCTGTTGTTAGTATCTAGCTGCGCTACTGACCAGGGATAGTACATTTAATTAACACCGGTACGTACACTTTTAAAAGTATCAATATTTTCGGCAATAACACCTGTGAATCGTCGTGTTCCGATTAAGTTTGACAGTGGCGTTCTGCCAGGAAGATGTTCACACTTCATTAAAATGGAACCTTGAATATACATACATATATGTGTGTGTGTGTTCAGAAAACTTCCCGTCAACTTCACTATTATAACTCGTGGAAATTTTGTTCTCGAAAATGCGTAAAATTGATAAGGTCCGTATATCTGTTAAACTCGATAAGTAGACTGTTTTGTATACATTTATTGGAATTGTTCCCATATTACACGTCTTTTTAATTACGTTACTGTATTTACTAACAACGCGTTGTGTTTTTAATGTCGAGGGACGTATTAGTAAATGAATGACATTTCTTGAACTGAGTTAGTTGAGACTTCATAGTGACTTGAGTGGGGTATGTATTTGCTATAGGCCTCTTTTCATTTTCTAGGTATATTTACACCTAAGGTCTATACTATGCTAGATGAAACAATGTAAAAGTTATAAGATTTGAGGTTCTCACAGTGGTGACTATAAAGATCAGGCTTACGGTCTTCTGGGATGTGACACCATTCAGTCTAATAGAAATTCACCGACATGTCGAAGTAACGTTCGGCCTCCACCTTCAGAGCAGAAGAGAAAGGTCTTCATGGTTCGAAGGTTTTCGAATATGGGGACGTTGTGTAGAGTATCCTTCCCATAGATGATTATGTTCTAACTACGGTGACTAAGAAGAAAATTATTTTCTGGGAAGTGACCCCGCGTAGTCTGGTAGATATTTACGGACGTTTCTAAGTAAAGTGTTGCTACCATTTTGACAGTCAGTACTCTTCTACTATGGATCTATAGATAACAGATGTCTTCAAATCATCTGTAAGCTTCTATCAGACTAAACGGCGACACATCCCAGGGACAGTAATTTTCAACCCACAAAGCAGTCCACAGACTCGCGGTTTGCGTTATGAAAAGTCCGAGCCAGTTAACAACTTTTGACAGATAGAGAAATTGTGGTTCTGGCTGATAGGTGAAAACAAATACGAGCGTCTTCCCGCTTCCTCCTCAGTAGAAACATTGTTTCAGAGGCACCGAAATTCGTGGTCACGTGGGTAGTAATTCTGCTTCGCAATTCGGAGATACCGGGATGATGGGATACTGCCACATTAATCCTTTGAATTCATTAGTCTCTAATCACTCTATCATTCAACGCTTTATTATCTGAACGATTCAAGACGTCGTTAAATGATCCATGAATAATTAGATAAGTAGGAATAATTGAAGAAGAAATAAGTAGAAACCGATTACAGTGGTCACACGGTCTAGAGAAGGTACTTCTTCAATCCCTAGGGATTCGAATGCCACCGGGAGCATGAAAGTGTATCTGCCTTTCTTCTGAAATTGTATTCCTCTCTCTACCACGTAGATACAGGCCTTGCGATGGGCCCATCCCCCGTCCAAGGAGTTCTACTAGTTGTCTGTAAGATTCGTACATGTAGAAGATCATTCCGAACGAGAACAAGCCAGAATCCCTAACCCGGAGAAGGAAGATCCACTTTGATATTATGTTTCCCTCTACACTTAGAACCGCCAAGAGATTTCTTCATTTCTGATTCGTCTTTTATTGTGACGCATTACCCGCATATAGAACTTTAGTAAGAGGTAGGTCTCTGTTTCAGTAAATACATTACAATTCATTATCCTTACGAATGAAATATATTTACTTTGTAAGTTTCAAGTTACGGTAATTATTTGAATTTGGCATTGCTCAGTGCTATTTGTATTCAGTGCTTCTACAGGCGAGCACAAAGACCCTTTACTTCCTACGCAAACCATCGTAGGATATGTCAATTTTATAGGCGTGGAAGAAGTAACCTCATGTAATTTCTTTTGGAAGTCGTTAAAATTACAAGGAGCTACTGTTTTCCTGTGTATGGCTTTTCAAGAGCCCACTTACTCTCTATGGCTCTATAGACCTTTGGACTTTGACCGCTCTTTCAGTTCCTTGATGTTTACACAGTCGGTAGGACTCCTTGGACGGGGGATCAGGCCGTCGCAAGGCCGCTACCTACACACAGACATCCATGCCTCGAGTGGGATTCGAACCCACGATCCCAGTGTTCGAGCGGGCGAAGACAGTTCATGCCATAGACCGCGCGGCCCCTGTCATCGGCTCCGTCAGCGTACTCATTAGTACTAATCCTGTATGGATTAATATAGACTTGTGTGTTGTCCGGTAAGCTGACTCATCTCTTATCCGCGGAGTTTTCACTGTCTGTGAAGCGCTAACACCTCCCGAACGGGTGGACTTGCTTCAGACGTCAGATTATTCCAATGCGAGAATTTGACCCTGTACTTTTGTGGTCCTAGATGCACTGAACTTTTTCAATTTTGAAGAGATGCTTCAAGTTTTATTTTTCTGTCCTTAATGTTTGTGATGTAGGTGTACTGCCCACAGGAATTTCAATCTGACAAATTCATTTACTTTCCGATGTATTCTCGGAATACTACAAAGTCTTTCGACCATACGAGGAAACAGTGAACAAACTCGGTCTACTTGTAAGTGAACTGCAGTTTTCATTATGTAATGCAGTTTGTAAAGATGAACGAGTTGCCACGTAAGAACTTCGCTGCATTAATTTGATGAATGAGTTTAACCGCCGTTCACAGTAGCCGCGCGGTCTGAGGCATGAAACTTCTTCGCTCGCGCAAACGCTGGGATCGTGGGTTCGAAGCCAACTCAAAGGCATGGATGTCTATGTGTGTGTTTATTCTGTGTCTGTGTTGTCCTGCGTGTAGGTAACGGCTTTGCGACGGGCTGATTCCCCGTCCAAGGGTCCTACTGTCTGTGTAGAAAAGATTACGAAAGTGAACAAGAGACCAAGGCCCAACAAAGTGCTGTAGAATCATTGATGACGGAATGAATGAATTAAAAAATTAGTTTTGACATCAAATTGAAAGATTAAACTGTCTGGAAGCTGTTGCGTCTCTTTTTAGGGCCTGCTTGAATTTTAGTTGAAATATTCCATATTTTGATAAAAATGTGAATGTCATGTGTTTGATATCGTTGTAATCGACCATAAGCTTTCATCTGTTTGTATTTGTGAAACTTCCCCATGTTCCAGAGGAGGATAAAGTGTGACGTCTGTAATACATACAAAAAATGAACTTAATAAAGCAGAGTAAATCTTGAGAAACATATAGTTGTTCAGATGGCCGAGAAATTTGCTGCCTAATATTATGGTATCTGATGACTCGTTTTCTTATTCACAAAAGCCCAGCACTGGATCCTATGGTGAACCAGATAAATGTAGTCCGCAGCTTCACATCCTACTTCTTTGAGACCTGCTTTAATATTATCCTCCCATCTATGCCTTGGTCTCTAGAATTCATTTTCGACCTTCCGTCTAAAATTCGATACCCATTTTTTATATTTCCATATGCTTACATGTCTTTCTCATCTTGACCAAATTGAATTTATCGCATAAAATATTTGGTTAAGAGTACAATTAACTAAAGTCGTCACGGCGAATTATTCTAAATGACGTGGTGGAACATCCTGAATATTAATTTTCGTCATGGATGTGCCATTCAGTATTTAATAGATTATATGATTTAGTCACGGGAAGCTAACAATGCAATTATAAGTTCACTATTACACCTCGTCCATGAGTACCAGTGACCGAACGTAAATTCGGTTGTCAGTTTTACTTTATTCGTGATGGAAAGATTCCCTCTGCTTTACAGTCATGTGCTGTCTTCCAATTCGGATGTCCAGGGCAATTTCGCCGCGCAAGCAGCGGAACTAATTTTAGGTCTGTAGCTGCTGTCTGTTTTGAGTGTGGTCTGCCCGTCCTCGGCGTCATCTATCCTTCATTCACACTCCCATGCTGCAGCTCTATTCATTCAACAGTCCGCGCATCATGATACAGTCTCATAAGACAGCCAGTGGTTCCTAAACTGTGTTCCGCCAGACCCGCTATTCGGGAAGATCTTCATAACAATTTGTGTCTTACTAGCCTAAAAGTGGGGCACGCGGTAGCGTAGTTGGTTGGAGCACTCTGCTACAAGCCGAAAAGTCGCGGGGTTGATTCTCGATGAGATCATTAGATTTTTCAATTGACTTGATCCTTCCAGCCGCACACTATGGTCCTGTACTTGACACAGCCCCTAACAGAAATGCGTACCAGGAATCTTCCTAGGTGGCAAAGGGCGGCCGGCACGTAAGGATGATCTCACCGCTATCTGTGAGCCGATTGTCTATAAAACGTTTGTGCCTCGACGTCTCACAACTCTATGGGTCTCCACGGCCTGTTACAGAAATAACTTTGTCTTTTACTGGCCTAGAAGTGGATTACAGATATGTGTATGTACTATATACCTACATACGTAAGAAACATATATATATATGTATAT